AAAAAAAAAAAAAATGGAAGAAAAAAATCCCACAAACATAATGGTAGATGCTGATGTCAATAAAGAATGAAAAATCATATTTTCCTCTTACAAAAATTATAAAATGAGGTAGAACCATGCTTCACTAGAACATTGTCTTTGAGAATTGAGTTTTACATAGAAAAAAATCTTACAATGAGCTTAATTGTCAATTACCACAGATGAATCCAGGGGGAGAGAATTGAAGTTATAGCTCCATTAAAGAGAATTGAGACCACTCAAAGGATGTTATAGTGAAGCCCTGGCATATTGCACCCACACATAACAATGAAAAATCATGGACTAAATTAGACAATGAAATGGTAATGCCAACTTTTAACAATGTCAGGGCCAATTATTCAGTCAGTGAACTGTTGGGGATTATCTCTTCCTTTGGAATATTATGGTTCTTCCTGTCACTAATTACTTTTTCCCATTTGGGTACCCAGACTGGCATCTGCAGAATGAAGTAGGGAAGAGGAGAAATTCAAATAACTTTGCCAATTTGGGAAGGATCAAAAAAAGCTTGATATAATAAAAATTTTAATATTGATTCTTTTATTTTTGGTTCTTTGTTATTTCTCTCCCATTTTCAGTCTGCTTGTTATCTAAGATCACAATGAATCAATGTCTGAGACTTGCTTAGAAAACCCTGGAATTTCTTTGTGTATTTCACCCACTGAAAATGACTAGATCCTGCAGATATCAAATGAAATACATTTGTGTTGTGAATTGAGATTTGATTTTCTGGCTGCAAGAGACAGAGCTACTGTGAATTTGCAGCTGCAGATGTCTCTTTCATCTGGATGAAGTCTCTAGAGTTGAAATAAACAATGGCAGAAAGTATCAACCCGGCTTTAAATGGTTTCAGCCAGAACAGAATTACAGACACATTTACATTCAGCATTCGTGATGGAAAGGTAAATTATTTGGACTTACAACTGTTAACTGTTAGCTTCATTGGCATTTTCTGTACAATAGTCCTTAATCTTGGAAATGCAGCAAAGCAACAGTAATCATTCCGACTGTCTTTTTCTTCCACATTTGCAAAGTATAGATCTCCCTTTTGGCTCATGTATACTCTTTCATCTTGTTCAATGTGTTCTAATTCTGGAAAGAAATATCTTGTCATCGAAAGGGGCAACTGTCCCTCATTACATCTCATCTTCCTTTTTCATTTCCCACTCTTTTCTATTATTTGATTTCATTTTTCTTGTCTGCTCTTCCTATTGCTCTCAAGTCTGGTACTATGGGAGCAACGGTTGTGCAAGAAGTAAAAACAAATAGAAGCAACAAAACCCCTGGGAGTGTGGTTTTCACCATTAACCAAAGAAGCCCACTGGCGGACAACCAGTCTGTGCGTACGACCTTTCCTTACCATCCAGACCTCCACCTGTGCTCTGTTGGTCTGCACTGGCTTATCCGAAAACTGGTCAATTCATATAATGACCTAATGGTCATTTTTATTTTCTTTGGATCATATTGCTTTAAAACAGAGGTCCCCAAAACTGTGTCTCTTTCCTGGATGAGGCCTGGAAGGTTCTAGGGTGACTGGAGCCCAGAACTTTTGGTTGCAGCCATGAATAGCTTCATTAGCTTTCATCTGAGGGCTACACAAGTATTTTTTCCCTGGGAGGCATAATGAGAAAACATGTAGCAGCACTGCTGAGGCAAATGTGAGAAGTGGGCTTCACAAGAGACTGGAATTTCAAATCGAGAGTCAGCAAAGCTTTTTGGAAAATTAAGCACAAAGGTCAATACTAATTTCTTGGTGAGTCACTGCATTTAGCAGGTAGAACATTACTAAATTAGAAATATTAAGCTAGCCACACAAAACACAAACCACCATCACTGTAACACAGCTATATTCTAAAGAGAAGTTGTTTTGAATATAGAAAGTATTTTCTTCACAGAGACACTTTATCATTTCAGTAGCCTCTCCCCTTTATAAATATGATGGAATAAAAACAAAAATAAATAGTGGTTTTCTAGTGTTTCACATACACACTTCAGTTTATATTTAGGACTAGGCACAGACTTTAAATTTATGTAATTTTTAAAATCAATCTGATTCCACATTGATAACCTTATATAAATATTTTATTTTTGGTTTCATTATGTTATTTACATTGTGCATGAAAATAGAATTCTCCATTATTGATAGAACAGAGCATTACTTACCAATATTCATCCAATAAATGTGTAGAGGTGGGAGGCCTTTGGGAGGATTGCATGGCAGGACAATCGGATCTCCTTCCTCCACTTCAAGAGGGTCAATTTTTTCTTTTGGGAATTTTGGAACACCTGGCATACAAAATCATTTTACGACATTATTTTAAAATTAACTTTTAATGTCACAACTAATACCTTACTACGTTCTTAAAAAAAATTGAGCATTTTTAATAAATTCAGCACTCTAGATCCTGGTTCTCAATTTCCACTGCAGAGGTAAAATACTGTTAAGGATCTGGTGTGTGCACTCCCATGTTCATCGCAACACTATTCACAATAGCCAACCTAAATGTCCATCAGCAGATGAATGGATGGGGAAAACTGTGGTATATATACACAATGGAATACTATTCCACTATAAAAAGAAATGATATACCATCATTTGCAGTAACATGGATAGAACTGAAAATCATCATGTTAAAGTGACGTTAGGCACAGAAACAAAAATACTGCATGATCATATGCATATGTGGAATTTTAAAAAAAGTGATTCTTACAGAAGTAGAGAGTAGAATAATGGTTACCAGAGGGAGGATGGAAGAGGAGGGGAAGCTAGTGGGGTTTGGGGGAGGACAAGTAGCGGGCTAACAGGTACAAAATTATGCTATCTACCCTAAGTGAATCATTGTGCAGTATACACATGGATTGAAACAAAACACTGTACTCCACAAATATGTATAAGTAAACGTTAAAATATTTTTTTTTAAAAAGGATCTGGTGTGCGTCCTTACACAACTCCAAAAATACCTTGTATTTTGAAACCCTGGACAAAGAATATTTTTGCTATGTGACATCAATAAGACAAGAATATGCTTGTGAATATTTCTGAGCAGAGGTGTAAACCCTGAGCTGTAGGATTTGCCCATTTTAGTTTTGATAAATATAAAATCAGTTTTCTTTAAACACTGTGATTTTTTTAGGCAGTTACATATTCTCTATCCCTTGCTTTATTGTGAATGCCTTGAATGTGACTGGCAAATATTCCACTTAGAGCATTAACCACATTAAATAAAAAATTCAAAGCCCACATGGGGAAATGGTAACAATGCAATAAAAAAACAACCATGACCACTTTAAGTTGCAAAGAGAGCTCTCACATTGGAATCACTTCCAGTAAATAAAATTATAAATGAAATAACATCGATGTAGGAAAGGAGACTTTCCAATATTTCAGCCTATTGTTTCCTCCCCATATTGGAGTAAATTTCCCAAAAGAGCAATGCAGTTACAGTGACAATATGTCAAAAATGTAGAGAATTTGAAATACAACACCAATGTTTAATATTTTTATAAAAGAATTTCTATTTATAAGGATATTCTTCCTGAATATTATATTGGTGTCTTTCCAGTTTGTTGGGGGAATTTGCATTATGGAATTACACAGGCTCTTATAGAGGAGAGGGACCATAAGAAGGCATTTATAATGGTACTGACCTGATGGAATTTATTAGGGGATATTCCATCTCTGTATCTCCTTCCTAAATTGTGATAAACAACGGCTTAGACTTGCAAGTTTAAAGATGTACTCATTTACTGCAAAATTTCTTCTGGAGAAGCTTTGTGCATTTTCTGTATATTTGTCCTACTACCCCTCTACCCTCACCCCAACTCTTTGTGGTTGAGGGAATTTGCTGACATTTTTCTTATTGATGCACCAGCTGGTTACAATGAATTGCTTTTTGTCTAAATTCAAGGACCTTTCAAAGCTTAACATTGCAGGGAGTAGGGAGGTTACTACAGTGCCTTTGCAACTTGGGAAGGCAAGCTTCAGTTCTCTTTATACATTCAGCCATGTGACAGTCAGTCCTTTGGTGGATTCCCTTCTGGTCAACTCATTCTATCAAATTTCTCCTGGAAACTCTGAAATCATATTTAAAATGGCAACTATCTTTGAATCACATTTTTGCTACAGGTGACATAAAGTTTTCATCAAAAGACCAGAAAGTATGTTTAGTACATTCAATACATTAAGATCCTATAGATAAAATATTATGCCAGCTATTTGGAAAAGCCTTGACTTTGGTGGAGAGCAAATGCTATGCAAGTCATTTTGCAGAAAGTACACTTTGCAAATAAGATGTTGTAATTTACAAAACTATTATATACCCAAAGCTCCAAATTCAAATCACCTGTTCAGTGTCACTTGCTACAACTGAAGCTCCATATTCATTTGCATTGAAGTTAGTGTGTGTGGGGTAGTTGTTGAATCTACTTATACACAGATACAAGGGGCGACAGAGGAAGGAAAACATAGATTGGTAAATGAATGAAAAGGGCAGGTAATTCTCTTCTTATAACAGAAAACTTTACAGTGCCTAATATGAATATACAGTTCACTGGATGATATTTATTGTAAAATGGCTAATTACTAAGATGTATAAATCCCTTAATTGGAGAGCTGCTCCCTCAGAGCATTCAGAAAAATCTAATGAATCAAACACATATTACGAATACTGCCAGTGAAGCACTATCATCCATGTGTTAATTAAATCTAGACTGTAGCATTCTAATTCCAAAAATGTAAATACGTATGTAATTCAACTGGCTTCCAAGACATTAATAATAAAAAAATAAAATAAAATAAAATTTATAAGTCTACCAAACTCTTTCTTACATTCCATAAATCTTCAGAACAGCTTTTATCTAAAGATGAAATCACTAACAGGAAACAGGGACTAGTATTTATACATTAATTAATTTAAGGTCTTAGAAAACTCATTGTAAAGAACATTTACCTGTCAGGATTTTTTAGGTCTTATTCTTTGACTTTGAAACTACTTAGCGAGTTTGATGGCATGCTAGAAAGCAAAATTTTAATATTCACAGGTAAATGTGAAATTGAATTACTGTAACGCAAGAGCGGGCATGAAGTCTACCTCAATTCAGGTAAAGAAATGACTCTACGTAAAAATAACTCTAACTAATGACTTTTACTAACTGTGTTTCTCTGGTGATAAACATTAGCATTGTTGAATTCAGACAGATGCAATACTTTTCAAAGTAAATTATAAACATTTTTTTTCTGTATGCTCATGTGAGGCAACTATACTCCTCTAGCTTGACAACAAATTTCCATCAACACCAGTTACAAAATCACTTGACTGTGTTTCGATAAGACTGGACTTGACCCCGAATGTCCTCTCTGCAAAAGGATCATCAACATCTACCTAAGCAGGTCTTTAAAAAATGTTTGGAAGACCCATTATAACCAAGTCTAAATGAAATTAATTTTTTTCCTATGTGATTATAGGTCTATTTATATCAGCAAATCAAGCATATCACAGCATCTATCTCTTTACTATTCTCCAATGGGCTTTCACATTTATTATTCCAAATAGTAGACAAATTTCAAGTAACAACTCCAAGAGTTTAAGTGACACTCAAACATATTCATATCTAGGCTTGTGAAAATTTCCCCAGTTAAAATCTAGCATGGAAAAACTTTCCTAGAGACAAGTTAGCTGCACACCAGTCTCATTACCAGAGCTATCAAGACACGGCAAATCTGCAAATAAGAAATCTGTAGGAGCTCTACAACTTCAGGTGCTGTCAGTGAGTTTTGAAAATGCATCATCTCAATTCTTTCAACATAATATACAGAAAAAAAATAACATCTTCATACCTTAAATAAAGAAGATTTCTGAACATGATTCTACATCTACAGGATATCTTATGGAATAAACAGTATTCTGCCCCAGGCACTAAAACTAACTGGCTAAGTAGCTTTAGACCAGTATCTTATCTTTCTGTATCTCCTTTTACTTTTCTCTGGTATCCTAAATCCTTTGAATTCTTCTCTTTGGGCTCCTTAAAAGTCTCATTAGGTCAGAAGCTTCATAAGGGTTGAGATACTATGAAACTTAAGCTGTGCAACTCTTTCATGCCAACACAATTAATAGTGAAGAATAGTAATGAAAATGGCCTCAGGGTATTTAACTAAACAAAATTCATCAGGTCAATGAAATAGGCACTGGAAATTTAACTACTACTAAGTTATATAATAGCACTACAGCTTATTCTCTCGCACTGAAGGAATAAAACCAATGGTTTCCCTATAATCTCCTGCATCTACATGGTTCTGATACTCTACATCAAGGTATTTTAAACAAAAAAGTACAGTGCCTTTCTGCTCATCCAGAAGACGTGTTACTTGAATGATCTAAGTATAGGAAACCCTGGATAGCAGCAGGTACACACATGAACTCTGGAGTCAAGTGCTTGGGGCTGAGTCCTGGCTTTGTCTCTTACTATGTGATCTTGAACCTGTTACATAATGTGCCTCAGTTTCCTCATCCATAAAATGGGAAATGTAATTGTTGGGGTGAGCAGGACTGAAGCCATGTTGGGACCTAACACTGCACGGGCTGTAGGCAAATTTTCAAAGGACACGGTTTAGCTCTTCACATGCATTTCTCTGAGTTCCCTCTTTTCCCATGGTTATTTGATATTTTGAACCTTGGTTTCGGGCACGATGACATTATTTACATGAATGTAAATTTTTTTTCCAGCCAGCCTTTAGCTGCAGACTTGCATGTACTATCCAGACCCTGGGAAACCAATGAAGATGTCAATAAAGCTACGCTGATTCCACCCTCCAGCAGGACCCTGAGATGACAGCAAAGATGGGAGCAGAAATCAGACGGAGTTTTAGTGAGACCTTGCACAAAGTCCCCACAGCTCACGTCTCCCTCCCTCCTGCTTTTCATTTCCCACATTCTGTTCCCTTATCCCCCTCTTTAAAAACCCCTCAGTAAAGCTGAGTCTTGGAGATGGCCTTAGCCAACCATCCTCCTTCAGGTTTACTGGAGAGATGGGTGAGCTTAACATCTTTCCTCAAGTCACTGGGATTCCTGAATAAAAGCCGACTTCCATTTTCACCAACATTTGACTTTTGAATGGCTCATTTTTGAAAGGGGGCAGGCGGCTGGACCTGTGTGTCCAATAACAATGCCACCTAACTCATTTGATTTGTGTCAGTTTAAATAAAATATTTTATGTGAGTCAACTAAAATAATGCTGGGTACTTAGAAAGTACTTATACATGTTGGTTACTATTCAGATATTTTTACTTT